TCAGAAGATAAATAAATGGCATCGTCAATTTTTTTTAGTTCATGTTGTTTAATTTACTAGGTTGGTCATCATTTGTTGAAAAAAAATGACGAATAAATCAAATAAGTTTAATTTCCATCTCTCTATAATAGAATTGAAAAAATAGAAAATAAATTCCATGAATTCTATTAAATATATATTATTAAAAAGATATTGATATTTTTTAGTTTCTTCATTCAATTACATCTAATTTATCTTTATATATATAATTCATCATTTTTAAAGAGTTGTACATAAAATTATGTTGAAATAAAATGACTAATAGATATAAGAAGAATTAAAAAAATGTGTCTAATAAATTTAAACAAAAACAAATTAGAAAAAAAATGACATAAAAGAGAAAAAATAATGAAAAAGAGAAGATGATCCAAGCCCAAAAGTTGAGCCCAATTCTATGCATTGAAAAGTGTAAAAAAATGATAAGAGAAGAGGAATTGATGCGCATGGGATTCAAACCCATGATATAAAGGCCACTGCTGAACCCCTTATCCATTGAGCTAAAGTTTCTCACTTATTTTCAGGGGGTTCATTTTAATATATGTACACATAAAATCAGAATTTGGCCCTATATATATAACATAATTTTTCGACCGAGGGGGTTCGAGTGAACCCCCTAGACACAACCTAGGTCCACCCTTGTTTGGACTCACTAGAGCCAATCGTGGAAGTGTCATGAAGGGACACCTCAGTAGTAATCTGCACATGTCGCCTTTGGATCAACTGTCTGGGTTGCAGTCTCATCTTCCGCCTCAGAACCTAACCTCTCATTGTCAACCGCAAAGGTCTCTGAATCAGCAGTAACTCGAGGCTCCACAGTACCGTTCATAGGAATCTCTATGTATGTTCCCTCGGGGACATTAGAATCAGTCCAAAAATATGAAATATCAATGGATTTTGATTCATCCACATCATTTCGTAACTCCTCTATCCGGGCAGATAATACATCAATACGTTTCTCATACACCTGTAATATTTCCCTATGCCTCTCGTATCTCCTTCCAAAGGGGTATAAGGGCAGTCTCTATAGCTCACTCAATCATGGTGGGAACCTGTGCCTTAAATCGAGAGGCTCGCACAGTTGTAGAATATGAAAGGTTACCATCCATAACACAACCTCTTGATTCAATGTAGGGTGAGAAAGAGTAGGAATAGTAGGAGTACCTGAGGCATCGACAAATGAGTGAGAGGTATAGACTCACCCTCCAAAGATTCTACATAAACAACGAGGGAGTTATCCACCTGTATTGTCTTCTTCCGCTCGGCCTTATCTCAAAGGTACTCCACTTCAATCCAATGGATATCACATGATGAGGTTGGGGTGATCTATATACCCTTCTAGTCCATAAAAGGAACACATGCCTTTCGATGCAGTGATATGTATGCACTTCTTAGCCCTCATGGCTTTCTCCAGAGCAATGATTGAACCCAGATTTAGTCTCTTTTTAGCGATGATCGACCCTAACAGATCATCTTTTGGGTGGCGGAGGATAGACTCGTTCTGAGATGGCATCAAAGAGCTACATATAAACCCAAACCAGTATCGCATAGTGATGTGTATGTACTTCTTTTCAATTATCACTCCCTCCACAATCTAAGGAGTTGTAGTCTCACTCAACAACGGGGCAAGCCAACCCCTCAGCCTATCTAATGTCTTCTCAAGATTATTGGCGAACTCGTGACAAGTTCGCACAGTGTAGTCCAATGCATTATTAATGTCAGTTTTGCTACACTTCACTTTCCTACCTCGAACTTCAACAACTTCAATAGGGTCAAGCCGAACCTTTTACTTCTTACCTCTTGGTAACAACCGCGTATACACATCATAAGATTCCCTCACCTAAGTGAGAACATACGAGTGACGGGGTTTGTGAACTGCTTAAATTTATGAAACCTAATATTTCACCAAATCTCGGGATATCTATTCATCATACCATCCATGAACAACTGTGTCTCCTCAAGAATAGTATGCATCCCTATAACTTTGAGATAATTTAGAAGACTACAGGCTAGGTACCACGTAGGCTAGAATAGAAGCTGGAACAGGCACTGTGACAGTAATAAGATAGTGGATGGTCTTACAACAATATCTCGCTCCTCTTTTGTTTAGCGGATTGTGCTTCCAGGAATGGATTATGCCCTGGGGTATTATATCCATCCTCATCATTGTCGTGGTCAAATACAGTGCAGGTATACTCCAAAAATCCAAAATTTGTACTTGAGTGCCATTCGACACATCGCCGAGTAGATTATCTACCACCAAATTGGCTCAGACCCATCGCCCAAGTACTACCCATTAACAAATTAGCATCACTTCCATCACGCAGTGCATACAAGCAAAATTTAACCTACCCATGATAATTCTAAGGGTTGGGGTACTCAAACTTCCCCCAAATTTCACCAAATTTTCAACAAAATAACGATTTGCTCTTAAAAAAAATGTCACCCAATCCATCATCGGGACAAATCAAGTCTTTTGTTTGATCATATGCTACTCAGACTTCGCCAATGCAAATAATCAAATCACCATTACCCGCATACAACTATCATCAATAAATAATCAACAAGTAGAGACCCATTGCTCCCTAATTCAAATTGCAAAATCACTAAGAGAAACATTTAACGGAGTAATTGAAGCAATCATTCAACTACAACAACCCAATCATGAACAACAAGAACTCTAAGAACATGGATTCAAGAAACTTATAGAGTAATCTAAAAGAGCAAAGAGTGGACGAAGAACCAACAATGATGATGCATAGTGGGGACAGGGAATGATGGAAATGAAATGCAATTCTGATAAACTTCATTAAATTATTTAAAATCAAAATACGAAACTAAGAAAGAAATGTGGATGAATGGAAGGAAGAAGAACAAATGCAAGAATTTAGAGGGATTAATTTAAAAGGTCAAAAAGACCATTGGCTCTTCAACTCACGTCCATTTGGCGAGCTCGATTAACTCCCCCCAAGGTCGTCTCAACAAGTTTAGCATTCTTTGTTAATGTGCATATTTATTGTCACTAAAATTTATTTTTGTTGTAGTGGTATTCCTATGAGTAAAGTCTCGAGAATGTTGGATATACACATACTTAATGAAGTAAGAAGGTAAACAATGAAAATTTTTAATGAAAAAATATAATATAAAATTAGAATAATAAAACCTGTATACTTGATACATGTTGGTTGTTGAACTGTGATTGCCAAGCCTTATGAACTGTGTATTGTGAAATTGTTAGGTTGGACTGATTTTATGCAGGTTGTATTTAAGACGGTTCAGTTGGGATGAAAGAAGTACTCGTATTCTAGCCTAGTTTTTCTTTGTTTAATAGGTTGCTTGTTGAGTACTGTGTTGTTTAATACTCACCCCTTACTTCTACACTTGTAGGTTCTGAGCTCCGATCCGTGTGATTGCTCTACTTCTATTTCCAAGGCTTCTAAAGGACTTTGAGAGGTAGCTGCTTGTCATCCCTACGGACCCTCTTGTTTCTTATTTTATGTTTTTTGTTCTATTTCATAGATAAAGACATTGATACTTGTACCTATCTTTCAATTGTGTATTAATATTAGTGGTTTGTACACGTGACAATCATGTTTTGATTTATATTAGAATGACTAAGTTTTCGGCTCTTATGTTATTCTTGTTCTACTTTCCGCTTTTATTTTGTGTTGTTGGGTTTGAGGCTGACTTTTTTTGGTGGGAATAGATGAGTGCCATCACGTCCAATTTTGGGTCATGACATTGAAGAAGGAAAAAGAAAAAGAACTCGTGTGAGAAAGATCAAATATACCACTTAATTTTGCGAAAATATCAAATGTACCTACATAGATTTTATTTTTTTAATAAAAATTTTAAAAATGAAATTAATTTAAATTAAGTTTTTCACTTCCATTAGACGAAGATGGTATATTTGAGTCATTTGTGTAATAATAGGAGTATATGTGAGCCCCTTTTGTAATGACCGGTATTTTACTATATATTGCAAGATTGATAGGTGTATCATGCCCTTTTACCTTAATTATTTTGGGGTTGAGTCAAGTTTATCCTCTTTTAATTGAGTTTGGTACTTATTAGTTTAAATATTAAAACATAGTTTAAAAAAATGTGATTTTACTATTAGAAAAAATAATTATGTTCTTTTGATGGAAAAAAGTTATAAATATATGTCCTTTTATGAAATCTAACTTATGATGCAATTTAAATAGACAATATATAAAGGGAAAAAGGATAAATATATACTCCCGAACCGATGTAAAAGAAATGCAGATAACCTCCATCATACTTTTGGATATTGGTGCCCTTACCGTCCAAAAACTATAGCATATATACCCTTCACTCTAACGGAAAACTAAATAGGGACACGTGGCACAATCTTATCCGTCGATCCGATATTTAATAAATATCGGATCGGTGAATAAGATTACAACACGTGTATGTCCGTTAGTATAAAAGGGTATATATGCTCTAGTTTTTGGACGGCAGGAGCACCAATGTCCCAAAAGTATGACGAAGGGTATCTGCATACCATTTACGCTAGTTTGAGGGGTATATATGTCCTTTTTCCCATATATAAATAACAAATCATATGTACTAATCTCAAACCAAATCTTTTGTGAGAGAAAAACAAAACACAACACAATTCTTATCTTGTCTTCACACTTTATATTCTTTAAAATTTCCCCTTATTTTTTTGTGATATCAGATTCTATGTGTCTTCACATGTACAGTCAACTTATTTTCTACTATATAAATAGACCACTTATATTTATTTTTCTCTATCTTTACTCATCAATCAAAAGGTATGTAAAACTTTCTCTCGTATATATTTCTTTTCTCTTTGTTCTATTTTAGCTATTTCTTATATAAATTGATTGTGAACACAATAAATCAAATAGATTAACACTTGATTTTTTGTGTTTCTTTTGTAAATTTGTTTTATCAAATAGAAAGTTAGCAAAAAAAAAATGACAGATTCTGGGGAAGAACCTATTGAAGAATCATCAAATTCCCAAAGAGGATCAAAAAGGCATAGACAGTGCCACAAACACAGTATGGAACAAATCCAAAGACTTGAAGCGTAAGATAATTTTTTTTTTTTAAAAAGAACTTTATCCTTCATATATGTTCAATTTTTATTTTTATTTTGTTTAAAGAGATGATCTTATTTTTTTAAAATGCATGAGTGATAAATTTAAAATTCATTAGCGATAGAATAATTTATTTTTTGTATGTGTTTTTTGTGTATTAATTTATATTTAATTTTTATTGTTTTTCTGGTGTTGCTTTTTTCTTTTGCTCTCCATATGTCCATTCAAATTTAATAGAAGATATGTACTTTTGATTTCGCTTTTAATTTTTTTATTGAGTTGCTAAAATGGTTTTGAAATAGTTTATTTGGATGATTAATCTACCGTTTATATGCAACTTTATAAATGATCGGTTTGTTCTTTATTATTCATTACTAACTTTAGCATAAGTAGATGAGTTTATTTAATTTCAATTTCTTTCTCATTTTTGCACCAAAAAAATAAACAATCTCTTTCTCATGATGTTGATACCCCTTTTGAGGCTCGATAGATATAGATCTGCGTCTAAAAAACACTTTTAAGGGCCCAACTAATCCAGATCGCATAAAAAAATTCACTTTAAGGTTCGACTAGACTAGATTTGTATTGAAAAGTCCCACTTTAGGATGTTTAGTTCAGATTCACATTAGAAAGCCTCACTTTGAGGGATAAACCACTCCCTACGGAATGTGACAACTCTTGTCCCAAGACTCAACACGAGGCCTCTAGTTAAGTATTAAGGAGTACTTACTGCTCCTCAATCTTTGGAGAGTATTTGGTACTTGATCTAGGCTCGACTAATCAAAATTCAAGTGGGGAATTAAGTCCCATTTTAGGGTAAAATGTTCCTTAGCAAAGAGGTTTTAGTTCTAATGCTCAAACTTGAGACCCTGTTTATGATGGAGAAATACTGTCAATCCACCATGCTTTTTATGACATGGTTTTTTGTTTTTTACTTTTTCATTTTTAGGTTTATTTTTTTAAAAAATGATCAATAAAGTTTTTTTTCTTTTGAATTTTCAATGAAGATTCTTCAAGAACTGTCCGCTTCCAAATAAAAATCAACAAAACCAATTGGCTAGGGAAGCAGAGCTTGAACCTAAGCAGGTCAGGATTTGGTTTCAAAACAAAAGGACACAAATAAAGGTAATTCTTATTATTTAGTTCTTTTTCTATAAATTCTATCATACTTAATTGAAGGTATATTGTTGTTGTTTGTTGTTGTTGTTGATGTTGTTGTTGTTGTTGTTGTTATTAGTATTTCTTGCATTATCTTTTTCAAAAGAATGTGTTAATAAATACAACAATTTCTTCATCTTATTAATTAGGTTATTTACTTCCACTTTCATTTTTATTTTTCCCTCGTACAATCAATTCAATTATTGACGATTGAACTTTTTAATTTCAATATAATTTTCCTAAATCAGTCATTTGTTTTGCCTCGTTGAATTGATCAATATATTTGGAAGTATGTTCTTTGCCTCACTAATATATGAATTTTACTAAAGAAGTTTCTTTTCATTAAAGTTATTTTTATCATCCGGCCTCCAAGTTGATTGAGTTGTTGCTCAATAAAACCAATGATAGAATCATGTTAAATTATTCAAAGTACATAAACTCCCAAGCAAGTTCCATAACTTGCCAAGGATTTTGAGAATTTAAAGTCAAAGAAAATTTGGTTTTGCAACTAAGAACTAATGATTTTCCTTTTCTATATTATTTGATGAATGAAGGAAATCTTGCAATATTAAATGAATGGATTGAACTAAGTCCAGGCTAGTCAAAATAATTTGTATAAACAAATGAGCCAATTAATAAATTATTTGTGTTGGGCTTAAAATAGACCACAACCCAATTTTCCAACTCTAACCAATTTTTTTTTTTTATAGTTTTTTCTCGTTATTTGTGCAATTACCATACAAAGTAATTTTTTTTATCACAACTAAATTTATCATGTCCAGGCTGAGAGTATGGTCTTTGACGAGGAATTTCATAGTTATTGAGGATTCTCAAGAAGAGGAGGATAATTAACTTATATCTAGGAGACCAGATGGGTAGGATCTAAGGCATAGTATGTGGATGGGTATAAGTTGTAGTACTTAGGAGTTGCGAGGAATAGGAATAAGTAGGCATCTTAGTATATTCCAATCACAAATTAGAAGCACAAAAAGGAGCAATCACTATAGAACAACATCTGATGTCTCAACTAACAAAAAGGAACAGAAAATCACAAGGATTATTAGATTGAAAATGAGGATCTTACTTGGTAGTTTTATGGGTTTATTGCAATGGTATCAACTCCTTCCAGTTCAATCTGTACAAATCATGAAATTACTTAGTAAAATCAACAATTTTCGGTGAGTTCAAGGTTTATAAGTTATGGATCCAGGCCTTACCTTGAGATACGTTTGTGACAATTGATGTCGAGTTGACAAAGTCGTCATTGAGTAGACACTCATCATATGGAGGTGCAATCTTACTTTCACAAATTCTTGAACAAAGAGAGGGACACAGACATTGTACTGGGGAAGTTGGAGCACTCATAGAGCATTGCAATTTGGGTATTATATGTGTAATAAAGTTGAGGCTTTAGATAGGAGGTTATGAAGGTCACATATTAGGGTAGGAGGTTAGTTAGATTGTTGAGTTGTCTCACTTATTCTTCTACACTAATAGTCGTACTATTAGTTTAGTTATTAGCTATGGGATTTTACGCTTCTATTATTGTTTTGTCTTATTATGGCAATTGTTTAGGATGATTTGATAGGTTATCTACAGTATTTTGGTAGGACTTTTTCTATTTTCGTCATTCTTTCTCTATAATGCATTGTTCTTTATTTTCCTTGAGACGAGGGTCTATCGGAAACAACCTTTGTACCTCTGTGGTAGTTGTAGAATATGTGTACACTTTATCCTCTCATGCCCCACTTTTATTGGTTTACACTAGGTATGTTGTTGTTGACTATATACATTTTAAGAAGTTTTTTTATGAATTAATTTGAGCTGAATATTTAGTTTATATCAACCATCTTTTAATCATGCTATACCTTGATTTGTGCCCAAATTTACCCGCATGAAAATATGCCTAGCAAAACCCGTTCAAATTAGGTAGATTAAATTTTCATGGACTAATTTTTTCACCTATCTAAACATTCTTCAAAATATATATTTCGTATGAGGAAGAAAGTGTATGTTGTTCAAAATCAGAGCGGGAATTTAAAATTTTAAGCAAAGGTCGAAGGAGAAAATAATTTTCACGGATTTTTTTTAAAAAGGCTTAATTTGGTCCTTCAATTATTATAAAATTCTCATTTTGATAATAGTAATATCTTGCTCAGTACCTAAATCTACAGTTAATTGGAATGTGCACTTTTGATCCCTTTGTTTGTGAATGTTCACAAATTTAACATAATGATTAATTGTACAATTACTTAATTATCTATGTGTTATGGTAAATTTGTATTGTTACTCCATGTTTGATTATAATATAATTATAAAAGTAGTTTATACAACATACGTCATACATAAAAGTACTCGAAACACACATTTTGATTAGTTAAAAGTTAAATATGATTCGTCAAATATCACAAGGATCAAAATCATAATATACCTATATTTTAGAGGTGGAAAATGCTATTTTTCCAAAAAACTACTATTTTCTTTCTCTTTCTACATTTTATTAACTCATAATATCTTATTTTTATGTGATTCTTTTTTGTTTTATATATTTCATTAGACTCAAAATGAGAGATCCGTTAACAATGCTCTTAGAAGAGAAAATGAAAGATTTCTTTGTGAGAATAACGCAATGAAAGAGGCAATGAAGAAAATTATGTGCCCAAAGTGTGATGGACCACTCATTGGAAAAGAAGAAAGGACCCGTGTATTGAAAATGGAAAATCAAAGGTTGAGAGAACAGGTAAACCTTATACTTATATATACTATTTATTTTAGCTTATTTATTTTTGCTATTAATTAATTTATTTATCTTAAAAAGAATTACTTAGATATAACAAAAGACCAGGCATATTCGTGGTTTGAACTCGATGGATCAATCCGTTCTTTAAGGCATTTAGCACATAACTCAATGTTGTACTTTGAATTTTGAAATGAAGGGGTCAGATTTACGATATTTTTTGAAGTTTTAGTCAATTTTTATATATATATATATATATATATATGTCTTTATTCCACCTTTAAGATATCTATTGAGGTGGATGCAGATTATAGGCACAGGGTTCAATTTGAATCCCATAATTTTTACACAGAGCATAGATCATGAAAAAAAAATCACTAGTTTTAAAAAAAAATGTTATATCTGGATCCATAATTTTATAAATACAATGAATTAAGCTTTAGATGCCTGCTACAAATGCTTGTGACATCTACCCCTTACATGATGTTAATTTGAATTTGTGGACGTCCTAATGTGGGTACTGAAAACTAGGTGAAAATCCCCCCCCCCCCCCCTCCCCAAGGAAAAAGTGTTAAATACCTAAAAAGGCTTAACTCGTTAAGTTTACATTTTGGATTCATTTCTGCCCCGTGCTTATGAGTTGCGAGTTGCACCCGCCCTTGACAAGAAAGACCAAGTTGAATGAAAAGAATTTAATTTATATACACTTATAAAAACTTAATTATATACTCTTATCGTTTTAGGTTCTCAAATCATGTTTATTATAAATAATTACCTATTATTATAAGTAAAATTAACTTAACAATTTTTTTGCAGTATGAAAGAGTATTAAAACTCATCTCAAGTGTTCCTGGAAGGCCTTCTGTGATGGTTTCAAATTTGGCACCATCAAAATCAACTCTTGGACATCCTCCTCCTTTTCGTCAGGAAAATAATACTAATAATAATGTTCAAGCACATTCAATAAATATTAATAATATCCCAATAATGTCTCCATCACGACAAGAACATTACAAATTTCATCATGATAATAGGCAAAAAACAACAATGTTTGAGATTGTTGTTGCTTCTATGAATGAAATGGTTGAACTTTGGAAAAGGAATGATCCAATTTGGGTGGAATCATCAAGTGAAGGGAGGTGTTCTATTCATCGTGAGAGTTATGAAAGAACATTTCCAAATCCAAATCGACCTTATTACCAATCACCAGCTACTCAAATTGAATCATCAAAGGATTCTGAAGTTGTGTCAATGACTGCAATTGAGTTAATCCATAATTTTCTTGATCCAGTAAGTTTCTTGAACTCTTTCATGTTATAATTGTTCAGCTCACATGTGATATTACCTGCTTTGGCCCGAAAATGATGTATGGCTTTAGAACGTGTCAGTACTAGGATTTAAGGCTTATATATATATATATATATATATATATTCATTGCTCATATATGCTTATTATATTAAAGATTGTGCGTGTGCTAGTCACTTTTTGGATAGATTTTTGAAAAGTAGCTAGTGTTTGAGAATTCGTTGAAAACTTACTACTTTTGATATGGAAACATACCATGTTAATATCGATCATGGATTTCAAACTTGAGCATGTGAAAGATCAAATATATTTTAATTTTTTTTTGAAATCTAACACATTGTCATGAATTCCAAAATTGGCTATTTTTCAATAGGCTGATACGATTTTAATTTTTAATTTTATCCCATACAATATTCATTAGGATGAGTTTAGATGGAGTGACGGACATGGACAAATGAGTACTTATTTTGAGAAATAGTTATTATTGTCATTGTTTTATAATTAATCATATACTTAAAAGTTATTGATTTGTATATGCAGGTCAAATGGATGAACTTGTTTCCCACTATAGTCACAAAAGCGAGGATTATTGAAGTTCTTGATTCTGGGACTTGGGGAGGCTCTATACAATTGGTAAGATACTGATACATCTTTTAGATCTTCTTCCGTAGAGAATAAATAAATATTATAATTATTTCATAAAAATAATCTAATTTTTTCTTGGTTCTTGAATACAGATGTATGAAAAGTTGCATATTTTATCCCCTCTAGTGGAAGCTAGAGATTTTTTCTTCATACGTTGTTGTAGACAATTTGATCCAACAACATGGATTATGATGGATGTATCCTATGATCTTTTCAATGAGATTCAAAGTGGTGTACATTCTTATTCTTGGAAGTTTCCTTCTGGTTGTGCAATTCAAGATATGGGTAATGGCCAAAGTAAGGTATGAATCATTTCCTCTCTCTATATCACTATTTATATAAAAGGAAAACTATGTGCACTAAGCTCCCTCTACACACGAAGTCCAACTTACTAGGGTCTATTATATGTATTTTTATCTTGCACTTGTGATTGTTTCCACAACTCAAACGTGTAACATCTATATCACTATTTATATGGAACTTATTTCCCGAAGAGTATGCTACAAGACGTAAATATTTACCGGCACCTATGTCATGATGTCTATTGTTCTTAATATGATATAAGAATCAAACTATCTTTATTCTCAGATAATCCAATTTTGGATCCTCATGTTATGTTGCTAATTCATGCTCCAAATGATCAGCGTGGGGACGTGCATCATGGATTGTTTTAAGTGTCCCCATATTAGTTTAGAAAATGATCTTTTTGTCCGTGTATAGCCTTGGAAAATCCCCAACAAACTTATAAGTTATATTTTAGGATTGAGTTAGATTCAATAGCCATTTTTTTAACATGTTATTGGAGTTGTCAGACCTATCACTATTTATGTAACAATGTGGAACTCCGACCCATACTATGTTGTTCATGTCCTAAATGTTTGAATCTAAACGAGTGAGGATGAATATTTGTCTCCTCATATGGTCCTAATCAGTCTTTGCCTTATAACATCCACTGCTAAGAAAACACGAATTTTCAACATAACTTCCTAATTATTTACCAACGAGCTAATTATTTTGATTCTGTTTTCTGGATTACTTTTACTCTTGCAGGTTACTTGGGTGGAACATGTTCAAGTATATGAAAAAAATCAAGTACATCATATCTTTAGAGACTTGTTGTGTGATCGTCAAACATACGGAGCTAAAAGATGGATTGTTACACTTCAAAGGATGTCTGAGAGATATAATTTTGCTATGGGTGCAATATGCCCTACTAGGCATGATTTTAAAGGAGGTTCAATTTTATATTCCTTTTTTTTTATTTACTACTTTTTCAGATTTTAATTTATAAGGTAATTAGATAAGGATATATTGCAAATCTTTCATCACTTCAAGGCGGTTTTCATTAAAAATATAATTTAAAAAAAAATAAAACCATCTTTAAAGGTATGTTTCACAAGATATATATATTAAAAAAAAACTACATATTCGAGTAGAGATTTTTTTTTCTTTTCTAAAATGGCCTGGAACAAGATCCATTCTTTTATTTTCAGGGAAAGTCATTTTTCTTTACAATTTTCTCAATTTTTAATTGAAACGTGTCATTTTCAAAGTTTTCTTTTTTTTCCTTTAGGGGGTGTGTTTGGTATGATTTGACTTTTTTCACAAAAATAGTCTTATTTTGATGTTTATTGACTTGCCAGAAAATAACTTTTAGGGAAAATGGTCGTATTTCTCATTGTTTAGGAAAAGTCATTTTCCTTCACAATCTCAACTTTGAACATTATATTGACGCTTTAACGACACTCGGACATCACTATCACCTTTAACATGTAAAGATCTCATCATACTTTCTGGTCCGTAAATATTTTTATCAATCTTCAATAGAAGTTTTTTTTTTTCTGGAAAATATATTCACTCTCCAACCAAATACTGATGAAAATAAAAATAGAATTCCTAAAACAAATTATTTTTCAGAAAAACAAAAAACACGCACTTACCTTTTTTTTCCTTATTAGTATTGTGAATTTGGCTTTCTTAATATTTTATCTTTCGATTTTAGTATAACATGTTGGCTCCAATTATATCATACTATTTGTTTTACATATATGAATTTTGATATACTTTATTTGAATGAGGATCTATCAAAAACAACATTTCTACATTCTCAGGGTAGGGATACCCTTCTCAGACCCACTTGTGGAATTACACATGATATATATGTTGTTGTAATACTTATATTTTATTTTTATTTTTATTTTCAATGTTTAATTATCTAGAAGGGCTGAAAAATACAATACAAATATCTCAAAGGATGGTGAAGAGCTTTTTTGAAATCCTAAGCATGACAGATAACTTAGATTTTCCAACTTCATCACGGCTCAACCGCGGAGATAGGATTTCAATAAGGAAAAATGAAGAAATTGTCCAACCAAAAGGCTTTATTGCCACTGCTGCTACTTCTTTGTGGCTTCCTCTTTCATTCCAAGATGTCTTCAATTTCTTCAAAGATGACAAGACAAGAAGTCAAGTATGTATTCAAACCTCTTTATAATAATGACAATTGTTCAGATAATTTGTTTAGTTGTTACAGCGAAATATTATTATTGAGAATATAAAAATATTGCATGATATTGATATCGGTTCCAAATAAAACTTTGATGTTATATTCAATTGGCCAAAGATATTTCAAAAACCGCCTACCTATCTCCAAGAGGTAAAGGTAAGGTTTGTGCGTATTCTACCCTCTCTAGACCTCACATTGTGGGATTACGCATGATATGTTATTGTTATAGTATATTATAGGTGAAATATTGTTATAGGGAATGATTGTAATAATAATAATAATAATAATAATAATAATAATAATAATAATAATAATAATAATAATAATAAGGTATGATTGTATATATCTTTGCATTGGATATTCAATTTTTAATGCAATGAGCCAAACATCTGAGAAAAAAATAAATTACACTTTTAATCCCTGTATGACTTATTAACCAAAGGACCCCTAAAAATACTCATATAGAAATTGACTTTTTTCAATCCCTGTATAAATTTTAATGTGAAACTCTCAAATATTTCAACAAATATCATAATTTTAAAATAAAAAAATAGAATGAGTTCAATGTTAAGAATTTTTTAAACCATTAAGTTGTAGTCTTGAATTTGATTAATTTGCTAATATTGTGTTCCCATGTTATATTATCTACATGTTTGCTTGCCTTGGCGTTAATTGTACACATTATTTTAAACAATGCTCATCTCACAAACTTAATTTTAACAACTAAATTATGATATTGTTTATCGTTTGATTTTTTTTCCAGTGGGATATTTTGACCAGTGGAAATAATGTGATTGAGTTAGCTCAAGTACTAACAGGAGCTCTTCCAGGAAACAGTATTACAATCATTCAGGTATTTTTCATATTTATTACTTATAGTTTGCTATTTTATGCTTAAATTATCCAGTAATAATGACATTTTTCAAGAATCAAATAATATTATTTATGATTGGATTCTTCTTTTTTCATATGTAGAAATACCAAAGTTTCTAACTTGTATCTTTTCATCCTTTAGGTCTTTTAATCTTTGATTATTGAATCAAAAGACATTTTCTATGGTCCAGTTTCACTTTTGACTTTTAGTCAGTTAACAATAAAAACACACACAAAAACAAAGACTATCTTTTGTCACATTTAATTTATATACAGTGATAATTTGAAAATCTTCTTCACATTATCTCTTTTAGTACTTCCACTAATATTTTTTAATTGTTGTAATGTATATGTAGCCTTGTATGCAAAAGGAAATGTTAGTGCTCCAAGAGACAAGCATTGATAGTATGGGAGCATTTTTAGTCTATGCACCCATAGAGTTACCAACGGTCACTTCAATTGTCAATGGAGGTGATGCAACAAAAGTTCCCATTTTGCCCTCAGGTATCATCATAAGTCCTGACGGTCGCCTCTCCTCGGATAGGGATAGTACTACAAATGCAGAAAATGGTTCAATTTTGACAGTGACTTTTCAAATATTGATTAGTGGTCATAATAATCCAACCTCCCAGAAGCAACAAATGGAGGTAGTGGCTTCTGTTCATTGCCTTTTGAGCAGCATAATTTTAAAAATCAAAGCAACATTGGGTTGCTCTGATTTATGATTGTTTAATTTCATGTTGTTTGTTTGTTTGTTTTGAAAATTTTAAAACTTAGACAATTGATGGTTTCGAAGGATGATGCATTCCCTTCTTTGTGACTTTTGAAAATCTCAAGACTATGAGATATGTGTTGTTGCAATTATCATTTATAATGATACACTTATTTGAGACTTCTCATTTGTTTGATTTTTTCCATTTTTATTATGTTTGGTTTTCTCTGTTCATTGTTTTTGTTCTTTTTCATGTTACAATATCATGCCTTCCTGATTTTGCTAGTTTAATCTAGTGGAGTAGTATATAAATAGTATCCATGTTTAGGTGGAATAGTCTATAAATAGTATTCATGTGTGGATGGAATTATATGTTGTGAACACGGATAGCCCATACACTAGCCAAATTGTTGGGTCTAGGGCTAAATCACAAAGAGGCTCAAGAATTAGACTGCCCAACAATATATTTACTTGGGGTCTAGGTTGAGCATCCACTTGTCTTGCGTACACACTCCTTACTTGCTTGCTTACTTTATTTCTTTCTTGGCTACAACTCAAATGGCCACCTCTTTTTTAGGTGGTGATCAATGGAAGGATCTAGTGGAGGATATGTACTATTCTACTCTAGAATGTTCCTCCATCTACATAATTTTAGAACTATCCCTTCTAGAATATTGCTACACTTTTCTCGGAACAATCATTCTAGATATAACCTTTCATTTCTTTACAACTTTGAATATTCTAGATACTTCTCTGGCATGTCATAGATATTAACTAAGTTGGTAATGAATTCTTAACACTTTCTTGAGTCTAAGTTTCTCATCCTCCATTCTTAGTTACTTGTTATTTCAGTAGTTTCCTAATTCAATTGTTTAAGTGTTGGTGTTGTAATTTGGTTATGAGTGATTATACAGTACTGAAGTGTTTGTGTTGAGAATTCTAGTTTGTTACATTATATATACGTAAAAAATTAATGACGTGATCAGTTTCCTCCGCGCTTTTAATGCTATACATTTTTTTAGTTTTTTTCAAAGAATATTTAACTTGTAGCCCGCGTTGACATACTTCAGACAAACCTCTGTCTCCTCCTCCTCCATTTCTCTTCTACCAACTCCATTTGTAGTTGTTCATTTTCCATGTTTGGTTATAGTAGGCACACTAGTATTTGTTTTTTGGCACATTAGCGTCAACCTGTGTCCTTAGAATGAAAAAGGCAACAAGAAATCTGCTACTTGGTTTCCTTTTTTGTAGCGGCGAGTGATTTGGACTCCAGCCCTCTTCTTGTAGTTAATGATTTTGTCCACAAACTGGTAAAGCTTCAGGTAGAAAGGATCGTCCTTTGTCACCATGTTGGTTGTGCATTGAGTCCACACCATTTCACTCCAAACTCTACTGCAATAGCTTCGTTTAGTGATATTTCTACTGCTACATTAAATCACCTTGACTATCTCTAACAATTCCATATATACAATCTTTGCCCATATTTTTGTGAGAAACTCCCATCGATGTTCACTTTGATTGTGCCATAAGGACCCTTGTTCCACCAAACTTATTTCCATCTCTTACAGTTCTAAGCCTTTCTACTATATTGCAAGGATATATATGTCCATTTTGTAATGGGCCGGACTGATTGGACTATTCTAAGTCAGAATAGCCCTGATATTCTAAATATACTCATTAGCGTCATTTATTAACTCAAACTCATTTTGATCAGTTTAATTCAGCCCATCTAAAAGTTTGGCCGATCAAATTGATACATGAGAAACATTAGTAAGAGTTGGGCGGGTTGGACTACCCATTGTTTAGCCCATTTTGACTCGATTTGTTTCAGCTCAATTAGTAACATTTGGGCGGATTAATAACCAACTTATTTTTTTAAATCAACACGTTTTATTTTGACCCCACCAAATTCGACTCAACACACTCATTTGACACCCCTAAACACATGCCCTATTTATCATACATGAATTTAAATCCATGCTTAAGGAGAAAAAAGTCGTTGGATATTTATTGGCGTTTTATATATGCAGTAAATTGTTTCTTTATACATGCATGTATAATATATTAGGAATTTTGCATTGTATTAAGTTATCTCACTAACCATCTCTAGCTAGCTATCTTGGACATATGTTGATCCTCTGGATATTTTTAATACTCATTCGATGACAATTATACGAGAGAATTAAATTTATATGTCGCAAGATGATATGAATATAAAAATAAGTGTTATATTCTTCGTATTTGTTGTATGTTACTCTGGCAGGTTAATCTGATATATAATAAATTTTGTAACGCAGTTTGGTAGTGAAATGTAATGATCAAACTCTCTAACTTTAGCGATACCTGAATTGCAGGGTCATTTTCATATGTGTACAATGTTAAACGTGGAGGTTAAATTTAGGATAGCGGAAGATCTAATTGTATCTTCAACGGATCTTCAAGTAAAGCAACCCTCTCAAATTTTCCTACCCGATAGATATCTTGTTCAATGTTATGATGCTCGATTGAGAAAGATGATTACGACTAGAACTTTCAGATATCCTTGTTCAGACCCTTGTGCCTGAAGCATTAAGTGTGAGTGTGGTTAGTTTAATTATGTCCTGCATTAGTTACCAAACTAGTTTTTCCTTCATGTAGTAAAATTTTGGTATGTTTTTCAGGCCTGTGCATCTGCTGAGGAATTATGCAGCAGTTGCCACAGTTGACTAAACTTGAATGTCACAGATACTTACTATTCTGATAACCATCTTATCCGGATGAACTATTTTTGTATACTATGAACCAAAATTAGCTAGGCAGTCAGCTGTACAATTAGCTTCTCTATAACAATGTCTGATTTGGAAACTGTCAATGTCCACATGACTTTAGCCTTGTCAGTTATCATGTTAGTGATAATCAAGAAGTATGTTTTGTTAAAGAATGACAAAAGTCCCACATCGGTGGTTAATGAGATGGGTGGACTCCTTATAAGACTTGAGCAGGTCATAAGTCCCACATCGGTGGTTAATGAGATGGATGGACTCCTTATAAGGCTTGAGCAATCCTCCTCCCTTTGAGCTAGCTTTTGGGGTGTGAGTTAGGCCTAATACCTAATTTAACATGGTATCAGAGCAGGGCCTGTCTCACCCGATGTTGGGGCCCCCAAAATCAAAATTGCCCACGCACCAGTGCTAAGCACTGGGTGTGAGGTGGGGTGTTAAAGAATGACAAAATCCCCACATCGGTGGTTAATGAGATGGGTGGACTCCTTATAAGGCTTGAACAATCCTCCTCCCTTTGAGCTAGCTTTTGGGGTGTGAGTTGGGCCTAAGACCTAATTTAACATGTTTCAGTGTCCACATTAAAATATGGTTCTGGACGCTCTATAGTATCCCTATCAAACAAGCTACACTTTCTACCATATTTGTGCAGATGCCAAAGTAAGAATTGAAGACCATATTCATATTACGATAATGGTCTGTGAGAATGCCACCTCAAGCTGCATCACCTTAGCGCCGAAGTAACCCATGCCATACTCTCAGGAAAAGCTCAAATGACTTTGAGCAAGAGGGTACCTGTACCTGAAACCGACACAGGTGAGTAGGTAGAGAATACCTAGGGGCACGCGACAGCTCTCTCTAAGGAACTCAGCAATATAGCCTAGTAACTTTGAGAGAAAGGGTGCTTCCTCAGAAATTAGGGGGTCGCAGTGACCAGGCCTGAGCGACTGTTTTGGTTTATTCCACTTGATATTAAGAATTGAATTGGCTGTGCAACTTTAGCACATAATTCCTTCCAGTTACTTCTTCAGTTCAAGCAAGGAAATTGAGTGTTAAGGATCAATAGTGTCATCTGCGTAGCATAGATGAGAGATGTTTGGTCCCTTCTTGTGTGTCTGAAAAGGGATGAAATTTTGGCTTAGACGACCACTTGCACTACAATAAAAGAGACATGTAGTGGCAATAGATTTTGCATACTTTCTTTTCTACAACTCAAATGGTCACCTCTATTTATAGGTGGTGATCGATGGAAGGACTAGCGGAGGATATGTACTATTCTACTCTAGCATGTTCCTCCAACTACATAATTCTAGAACTATCCCTTCTAGAATATTTCTACAATTTTTTCTAAGGAACAATCATTCTAGATATATCCTTTCATTTCTTTACAACTTTGAATATTCTAGATACTTCTCTGGCATGTCATAGATATTAACTAAGTTGGTGATGAATTCTTAACACTTTCTAGAGTCTAAGCTTCTCATCCTCCGTTCTTATCTCTATTCTTAGTTACTTGTTTTTTCAGTAGTTTCCATTGTAATTCAATAATGTAAGTGTTGGTGTTGTTATTTGGTTATGAGTGATTATACAGTAGTTGAGTATTTGTGTTGAGAATTCTAGTTTGTTACATTATACATAAAAAATTAATGACGTGGTCAGTTTCCCCCACACTTTTAATGTTATACATTTTTTTAGTTTTTTTCAAAAAATATTTAACTTGTAGCTCCGTGTTGACATACTTCAGACAAACCTCTGTCTCCTCCTTCCCCATTTCTCTTCTTCCAACTCACTGTCTCTATGATTTGTAGTTGTTGTTCATTCTCCATGTTTGGTTATAGTAGGCACACTAGTATTTGTTTTTTGGCACATTATTGTCTACCTGCGTCCTTAGAATAAAAAAGGCAACAAGAAAATCTGCTACTTGGTTTCCTTCTCTGTAGCGGTGAGTGATTTTGATTCTAGCCCTCTTCTTGTATTTAATGATTTTGTCCACAATCTGGTTAAGATTCAGGTAGAAAGTGTCGTCCTTTGTCACCATGTTGGTTGTGCATTGAGTCAAGTTTTAAGTATTTTCATTGAGACAACACCATTTCACTCCAACCTATGCTGCAATAGCGTCATTTAGCGATATTGCTACTGCTACATTGAACTGAAATAGAGAAAACCATGACTAAATCACCTTGACTACTCTAATAATTCCACATATACTATCTTTGCCCATATTTTTGTGAGAAACTCCCATCAGTGTGCACTT